AGACGAGCCAAATCCAACAAAAGTTGTTCACGGAAGAAGCACATCAAAGCAAATGGTTGCTTGTTTCCGGCATTACCAGTCACGTGGTGACAGTGGCTTTAGAGCAACACAAGGCGATCAGTTCCGAATGGTACACGACCATTTGTGCACGACCTTCTAGTCTGCGCCTAGAAGTTATCGGAGAAATTCGAAAAAAAAAAAAAAAAAAAAACAGAAGAAGCGAATCATTCTGCAACATGGGACAATGCGAACTCTCACACATCGGCTCGAACAAAGGAATTTTTGACTGGCCAAAACATTGAATTGATGAGTCATTCGCCGTACAGCCTCGATTGAGCTCTTTTTTTTATTCCCGCACATAAAAATAAATTACGTGGTCAGCGATTTGCGACACCCGAAGAAGTTGATGCATTCAAAAGGCATGCTGTGGCGTTACCTCAATCGGAGTGGAAAACGTCCTTCGAAAATTGGTTCAAACGCATGCAAAAGTGTATTGATCTTTATGGAGAATATTTTGGAAAAAAATAAAACCGATTTCGATCAAAAAGATTGGTTTTTCCATTATTAAGCCAGAAATATAAATGGCGACGCTCGTATATTTTACAATGCAATTATCTATATCAGAAACTCCCAACCTTTTGCATCGACCCGTCTTAAAAGAATGGTTTACTTCATCTTTCCCCAATCGTTACAATATAAAGTATACTACATAATCGCAATCGCTAAGGTGGCAGCAAATTAGCCTGTTTTGTTTTTGTCAGCTATAAATGATACACCTATACATTCATTAAGCAATTAATTGCCATTTTATCATAACTTTTGTCAAAAAGTTTACAAGGGCCGACATGGGTTAAGGTCTTGGCGCAGACTTTGTTGTGGTTCATTAGTTTTGCTTTCGTCGTATTTTTTATTGCGTTTTCTTGTGCTGAAATTTAATTTTGTATACTGCACTTATTGCTTAAAAAATTATATGTTTAAAGCTTATCATTGATGTTTAAACTATATTAAATAATTTTTATGTGTTTTCCTCTTATATTTATTTTCTATGATTGTTTTCCGTAGTTCACGATATAGCTTTATATAAACGAATAATTATCAAGTCTTTTAATATATTTTTTGAAATTAATCAGATCTTGCTTATGCCGATAAATTGCCGATACGTATTTTTGGCTGTCAAACCTTTGGTAATCATCGAAACCCTTTAAAATTTCATCGACGTTGAGGGGTCTATATCACCTAAAGTATCTATCTGTATTTTTGGGTGTCTAAGACCTAAATGCTCTTTAAAAGACCAGGCTAGACCTCCTATTCCACTGATATCTCGCCACTGATGCGTAGGGGTATAGACATTGAAATTAATTTCATATATAGTGGACTCATAAAACATTTATTAAGAGGATGGAAAATTTACGTTGGCAGTCTGCCAAGAACATATATTATGTCACATAATGCTCTGACAGGCGAATAAAACCTAATAAGGAAGAGAAATCATATTAATGGATTACATCTCGGAATCTTCGGAGTTATAAATTAACAGCATAGGCAGTATAAAAATATAAATGTTCACCGTGATTTATTTGTCAACCAAAACAGTAATAATTCAAGTTTTTAAGGCAGAATTACTTCAATTAAGCCAACAAAAACAATGATTGCTTATAATATTAGTAACAGATAAAAAGAAGTGTGCAATAACAATTAGACAATTCGAAATCTTTAAACAAAGTTCTTTACTTTCAGCAACACAGCCATGTTTATTAAATATTAAATGTTAATAAACAACTCAAGCAGTTTTATCCAATGGAAAATCCTTGATAAGCTGAGCTTACAGCTAGTCCTTACAAAATTACTGACAGGGCTTCATAGTGAGCTAGAACACAAGTTGATTTCATCTTATTCGAAGCTAATATCTTTCCTTTTCCGTGGATAGCTCCCTGATAATGCATGTGATTATGTGGCGTCGGAAGCCAGGGCGTTTATTCGATATTTGTTATGTCCTCTAGAGATATCAGCATCATTAACGAAAAACCATTTTCCTAGCTAGGATTATGTTTCATCTCTCCCCATGTCGATGGTTGCATCGGCGCGAAAACGAGTGGTTTGAAGGGCTCGTAATAGCTTATTTAAGGAGGGATGTCGAGTGCATTACCTTCCATGCTTCCTAGAACACTTTGTGTAGATATGTTTAACTTCCAATAAAGGGGGTAACAGCCGTCTGTGACGCTTCTCAAAGACATTTCGTTTGAGTACAATAGGGAGAGGATTTGAATTTACGATTCTTATGGAACTATTGGTCAGCCATCTTGTTTAAGATGTTAGTCAAATAAAGTATACTATGAAAGGACAGAGTTTATGAGAATTAACAAAATCCCATGCTACATCCCAAATTTTTCTGTTACTTTTATAAAATAGATATCTTCTAAGCTTCAACGCTTGTTTGTATTTTACACATTATATGGATTGCTAATTTAAAGATAACAATTCATTTTATAAAGTTATCGTCCTGTGAGTATTAAGAATGCTTGTATCAAAGTATTAATATCGAATGTGCATTTTTAGTTACATATACGTATCGCAATATTCGTATATTTGTTTTAGAGATGTCCTGAATTAGCATATTAATTGGAGTAATTTATGTGTATAAATAGTATGTGCATGTGTGTGTATATACATAGTGCTCGTGATATAAATTCAGCAACAATGAAGTTGTTATGTGATGATTAGCTGGTATTTTAGGTATTGCACATATTAAGGGTATAAGTAATCTCTCAGTAGTAGCAGTTCCTTCTCCTCGCCCTAAGTACGAATTTTATTTTTTCAACTGACTAGGCAATTGTTGACATTTTGCGTGTAAAAGATATCTGATTACCTCAAAGGTTGGCCAACCGGATGTCTCAGTCGCCTTTATGTGGTGAAATGCTGTGCTTAGCCTGGGGTTTCGTGGTTAACATGTCGAGCTGACAACTAGAATCCGCGATTCGAATCCTGGTGCAAATACAGTGTGTTTATCACAGTTCGTGCCCCAAATAAAAAAAAAAAAAAACTAATCTTCTTCGAAAATGTTTCGCGTTCATCTGAATTGAATTAATAAGGCATTTTATCCCTCTTTTCCGCAGTCTCTAATGCGTAACTGGAAGTAAGCGAACACGCTCGGCGCATATTTTTGAGATCCGAAGTTCGAATCCCGGCGAGGTCATTGTTGATTTCTTCAGTTTTCTGACTTCGAAAAAACTCTAAATAACCCTACCAACATTTTCCTTTTTTGAAATGGGCGTGGCCTGTTATGACCATGAGACCAACTTGTATGGTTAGGTGTGTCGGGCTGAGCTCACTACTGATATCCTACCGGTGGCGCCTGAAGTAAAATATGGTGGACAAGTGGACGATAATTCGTCACCATCAGGGTTTGACGATTGGTACTTTAATTCCCTGTCGTCCTTTAACGTTTGACATACAAATAAAATACATGTCGATGCGTCCGAAGAATACCATTTAATTTGGCTCAATTGTGGGCGCTAAAGTGCAAGCTTAGAAACAAAACGTTTTATTTTCAAATTTACATTGCTATACAACAATACTAATCAACTGCGCGGCGTTCGCGGAAAACAGTTCTTCACGTCTCGGAGACGTCAAAGTCTACAGTGGTGCATGAAATGAAATACGTTTCACGGATGTCTTTTTATGTCAAAGGCTTAAAAGGGAAGTAAATCAGGTATTTCTTCCCCCATCCTTTTCACATGCTTTCGTAGTATTAAACACGCTTGATACGTATTCATAAGGTTCAGAATTCAAATCCAGGGGACTTCACATTTTTCACGTTCCAGAATCAATACAACCTAATGACTTTGTAAGCTATTTTATCAACGTTAAGAATCAATGCGAAAGGTTTTTACCATAAGATCAATATAGAACTTTTAAAAAGACAGAGCTTAAGTTCTCTCTACTCCACAAAGACATTGCAGTCATAAATATTTATTCCTTATCAGGTTTCCGATTCTGGGTGCAAGGTTATATTAACCAGAGATTAGTAAACATCGTAATCTCGTACAGCGATTTATATAATTATTAGGAGCCACGGAAGATCAGACGTTACGAAACGCAAGCATGCACAATTAAATCTTTTTATCCCATTTACATTTTGTATGCTAGTAATAAAAAGTATGATGTATACACTTGTAATATAAATAACAGAAAGTTACCTCTCGATTTGATTGGCCAGTACTAAATGAAAAATCCACGATTATCTCAAAATCATTGTTAATTCAAGGGCAGTTAAAATGCATGAACGAAGGAAAATCCATGTTTTAATTTATAGGAATATGGTATTAAAGAGTTGCCTGTCTTTCAAGCAGTCATAATATGGAATTTTATAATCTGGAGAATACGTTTACTTATCTACGTAGTTATATGAGTATTCAGAACAAATGCAGCGCACTGTAAATAACTAAGAATAAACATAATTTGAAGAGAAGGAACTAAGTTATAAATATAACGATATTTACTACAGAATTTAAACAATGACCTTGAGATATGATGTCTTTCCATAATTAAGCAATTTATTTTAAACTGATGTTTTAACATGTTTGTATATTCCTTGATTACCTACAATTAAGTTATGTAATTTTGTGGCTGAAAGTAACTCTCAAGCAATCAGTTCATGATCTTCTATCATTGTTATTACCTTCCACATTTTTGTTTCTTTTTTATAACTTCCGTAGATACGTATGGTTTGAAATCATAATTTTTCATCATTCTCCAATAAACGAAAGTTTTTAGACAAAATTAGGTTAATTTGAAGCCCGATTAATCCGATAGTTAGGAAATGACTGCATTTTAATACAGCAAATATAATCATAAAGTAAAAACTTACAATGGAATCATGGAAGTGTGAAACGTTTCAAATATGTATCTTGAATAAAGAGAAAAATAAATTGCAGATTTTGCAGCGGTCTATTATAGAATGTAATTATGTACTTAAGAAGTTTCTTCTTTCTTTCCTTTAGCTCACTTAGGAAGGCAGCTTGAAGACTATATCGTCCACCTTCCGAAAGTGAAAATTGTTCGGGCGAGAAGACGAGAGGGTCTAATCCGTGCTCGCCTCCTGGGTGCCTCTGTGGCTAAAGCTCCCATACTCACGTATCTGGACTCCCACTGCGAATGCGCAAAAGGTAAGCTACATTTAGTACTACTCAGTAATGCTACCAGAGCTGAAAGGCATTGATATAAAATGAAATGAATGCTATCGTAAGCAGGATACTGATATTGGCTACACATCCGAAAACACTTTCGAGTAATTATTGCGTATAAAAATGCAAAGTACATTAGTGTATATAGACTATAATAATTGTGGTTGACTGTGGTTTATTCCAGGTTGGCTAGAGCCACTTCTTCAACGCATTGCCAACAACTGGACGACTGTTGTATGTCCAGTTATTGACGTTATCAACGATGATACGTTCGAATTTCACTTCCGAGACTCTGACGGCATAAACGTGGGCGGGTTTGACTGGAATCTTCAATTCAATTGGCATGCTGTTCCTGAGAGGGAAAAGAAGAGACGAGAACACTCCTGGGACCCAGTCTGGTGAGCATGCTGTGCTTGTATGAAACTTACAGTTTGGATAATTCCAATGGAATTTCCAACACGAAATTGCATTTTTAACGTTAACAATACTATTCATATTTAATCAGAACCAAAGAGATAGAGATGTGAAAGGTTTTACCCATTTACAGGTCACATTTGTGATTCAAAGTAACCATAAAGAAAAATATTTATACATTTCTCATTGAAAACGTGATCTGAAAATATCTGAGAATAAAAAATTAGAAATTTTATCCAAATTATGTCATCATATTAATTATAATTTCAATTTTACGAAGTGTTCAAAATTCCTCAAAATAAAATATGCATTATTATCTCGTCTAATGAAAGGTTTGGTCATTTAACGCGAAAGGATCAGAGTTATAAACAACGATATACGATTTAATTCAATTTCCCATGTCTAATTTGGAAAACAAATGTGATATTGGATATTTTTCAGTAATTTTTCTTGAATCCTGATATTCCTTTCTTCTCAAAAGATTTTATAAGAGAGATGCAATCATTATTTTTCTTTTTCACGCCCTCTAGTCAATATATAAGTTTCCTTATACAAGAAGATACTTTGACCATTCCATCGATAACTATGGCATATTTTCCTTAAGAGTGACAAATTCATTTCTTTCATTTTGCCGAGACTGGTAGGCATACACCATTTTACGCACTCAGGCTTGTCATTTTGAAGAGTCACCAGTACAGCGTTATGGTTCATTAAACATTTGTGTATATCAAATATGTGAACGCATTTCCTTGAGACAACCACCTTAGTTCAACGTGTAGTAAGAAGAACTCATGAAGGCTACCCATAATTATATATCGACTGCTTTTAAGAGGTCACAATTTTTTAGTTTATTATTTTGTGTTATCACCTTTATTAATTAATGCTTAGTAATCACATAATCAAACTTTTCAATGAAAATAAATGCATAAAAACTCATGAAAGGATCGCTAAGAAATCGCTGAATTATCGCTATGAACATTCACTGTGAAGTTACTCTAAATCAGCTAGCCCCTGTATTTAGATTGGTCTAAGTTTCAAAATGCTTTGAGCAGATTCCAAGGAATGGCCAAGCATCGTCTTATAAGGAAACATGATATTCGACTTTTTTCCACTTTCAAAATGCAGTTTTGCAATTTCCGATCTAAATTCTACTTTTTATTCTTTAGCTCCATTCAGGTTTTGGTTATTTTGTTGGAACTAATGTGTAATAAAATTGCTGAACACTGATAATTCGGTCTGGGGTTTACGAGCCAGTTTCCTTAGAACATCTTACACGAAGGCATCCCTCCACTTAGACAGATAGTTCTCGAGTGCTTTGCCATAATCAAATAAACGGAAGCCCAAAACCCTTGAACTGCGGAGGAGCCCCGGAGAAGTGCAGACGGAGCTCCAAAGGCTACTCGGAGTACAGATTGGGAACAAGTTCCCCTAAACGAATTGGTCATCTCGAAACTTGTATTTTTAAACGTACAGAGAAGAATAGCACACGATCTCTGATTCTAAACACATTTATTGAGGCTGTTTCGCCTGGAAAATTAAGTAAAACTATAACCTATCTTGGGTTCAATAGCTAGTTCAGTCAACCAAAAGGTGTCACATGTAGTCTTCAGATGAATTTTCAAAAACAGAATTCATAAGCAAAAGTCACACAAATTGGAGAATTTTAAATTTTACTTCACCTCTCCACTTGCGATGATTAAACTAAAGGTATGCAACTCAATTTACCCAGTTACTAGAATGTCTTACTCAAGCATTCTTCAAATTACTGTAAACTCGAACGGATTATTCTATTCCTAATAAGGACTATAAGCTTCTCCTAGACCACAACAGAATTCAATCGCACAATTTATCAGTTGCACTACATTATTTAATTCAAGATAGCCTCGGAGTTGTTAGCAGGGTGGTGGAACATTATTGCTGCAAAACAGCGCCAGCGGACAGGCCGAAACTGTGATATACATCTATGCACAATTCTTCTAACTTTGAGTAAAACTGCTTATCACTCGAATCTTTATAAATTCTGGGATGAGCGAATCTCGTGCTGAGGTAAGGCGGATAAGAAATTAAATAAAATTTTGTTAGAACGTATTTTCTTAAAAACCAAAACTGATTTTCTTAAAGACCAAATATAATGGACTTTTCTAAGATGACCACAATGAGATAAGTTGTATTTCTTAGAATATAGCGAAACTTTTTTCCCTAACCTAAGAGCCGGACATTTGCAGGTAAAGCATTTGCTGTGAACCATGACAGACCCAACTGATCTTTCAGTCATTTACTTACAACAAAATGTTTCCGAGAGATGTGTTTAAGGAAACACACTTGCAAGGAGAGAAAAGATCATTCATATACAGCCAAGCCTTAAACGAAATTCACCCTTGCATCCGTAGTTTCAGGCTAATAGTCACCGTCCCATATCACGGAACACCTTAACTAAGGTGGCTTAAATAAACGTCAGTATTAATCATTACCTCTCAAAAATGATGACTTCTGTCTAGTCCAAAACCACTTGAATGGTGGCTGATCATCTAGGAGAAGGATCACTGTAGCTAATAACTATAGAAATGCAGTTCTTTTCGATTTTGTTTTTAATTTTTAGCCCAGAAGGTCTGTTAGTCTCAAAACGGCATATTATGGCTTTTCACTATAAACGGCGAATCACATTTTAAATTTTTGCCACCAAATATTATCGCCAAAATTTATCTAAAAAAATTAAGTAATGAAGAATCTGCATAAATGTACGTATGTTTTTCGTATTCTGAAAAAACTTAGAGCCATTAAGTTTTGAATAATGTACGTCGCCACCCGAATATGGGCATCTGGAATTTATTTTATTATCTATTTCATATTTTGTAAAGCATTCAGGAGTTTTTTGATTAAGAAACTCAACGATTTCAAAGCGAGGAGTGGCAACACTGTATGGAAAACAAAACACTTTTATCTCCAGCGCACGAGAATGTACTGTATCGGAAATTCTAAAAATATGCTCTTTTAAATATTTTGTGATATTGCTGTTGAACTGAATTTTATGGTTTAAGTGCGAAGCACTTGATATTTAATAAATAAAGGTAACACACAGAACATTACAAAAACGCCCCTTTGGGCTTAATATAAAATCTAAAAGCTTTCAAATGTTTTTGTTTTATTTTCATTATTTTCACTATTTCTCATGCCAAACTAGTGCATGAATATTCTTTTATTATTATGAATGATATTAAACTGTACTAATTTCGTTATTTTCATAATCGCCTTCAGACACTGAATAAGAAAAATTTTCTTTTCAAAACGAATAATCATAATCTTCGAGTAGAAAAATTTTAAAGAATTGATCTAAAGCAAAATGTGTTTAAATAATGTATTAAATTATAATTTAATTTCAAAACGATGACAAATACTTAAATTATTTAGTAATTTAGTTTCAAAATTATGACAAGTTTTTGAAAACTAATTTATTTGGAATATTTCACAGTTTTATTCAATCAGAGCTGTCAACAGTTTATGAAACAAATTTTCCAATCGTAGTGAATAAAATATACAGAACAGAACTGTTAAGTCAGGGCTGAAAAAGTCACTTTTCGCAGGAAATAACTATAACTAATGAAAGAAACATCAAGCTGTATTAGCCTAGAAATTAGTGAATAAGACTTTTTTTTATTTATTAACAAATGTTATTCATGTATTATTCATGTAGTAAGCAATGCATGTATGCGCTTTTATTTTATTTTTAATCAACATTTTTCGAAACAGCATAATTAATCTTTGCTTTAAAATCTTTCATAAAATATTTATGAAAATACTTTTTAGAGATAGTAAAAGACAAACTGGATATATCAAAACGAAAATCAGTTTATAATTGTATTTCGTTATAATTTTATTTAGACTTTGTTATATATTTGTATAAATACTGGAAAGAAAGAAACACACGAATAATTTAAAGCTAAATCACAATCATCTGGATTCGAAATAACTTCTTGCATGTCAAATGGGATGTATTTATGATTCCCCATATCTCAGGAGTATAACTAATTATTATATGGTAAATTACTGAGTAGGTAAGTCCGCAATCTATATATAAACGCAAGCATTCACATTTCAACTTCGATTATTTAATCGTTATCGAAGTCGCCAATTTCGATTATTTAATCCTCATCGAAGTCGCGGGCGAGTTTTTAAATTGTCATCGAAACAGTTTTCCCTTCTCTTGAACGATGGACAGCCCCACGGAGAGAAGAAGACTCGGCCTTGCTCTTCCCAGCTAGATTGTGTTAGATGGGTGTTTCGAGTTTTCTTCAAGTTTACCAGTTGTCATGATAGTACTTTGAAACTTATCTTCGAGTGGCTTCATTCCTCGCTAAATGAACTTTTTTCACCACAAGAGACTATACGTTTCTGAACCGACCACAAATTGGTATTTTTGACTTTGCCACGTGCTGGTGTCTAACTTGCAGCCTGCTCCTAAGTTTTCAAAAATACTCTTCGTGCGTGTAAAATGAGCAGCGCTCTTTCAACGGAATGATGTCCTCAACTCATATCCTTTATTTACATTTTCGTAGTGCAGTTTTTAGAAAAATGAAAATAGATATGTACACTGCGCGAAAGAAACAACTGAAAGATTTCAGATTTTAAATTACGTCCAAAGGGGCCTTTTTTTAGGGGCTTTTCTCTTCTACCTTTATTTATTAAATATCACGTTTTTTGCATTTAAACCATAAAATTAAATTCAACAGCAATATCTCATAGTTTTAAATTGAGCATATCTTTAGAATTTCCGATACGGAGTTTTGCGCCCTGGAGATAAAAATGTTTTTTCCTGTACAACGTTGCCATTTTTCGCTTTGAAATCCTTGAATTTGTTAATCAAAAATTCGTTAAAGTTTTACAAAACATGAAATCGATAATAAAACAAATTCGAAATTTTCAATTTGGTCCTCCACATGCCCATATTCGCAGTAGGATTATGTCATTCAAAATTCGATGGCTCTAG